TGCGAGATAGCTAGTTGTGACCAATCGATATGTATATTATACGCATTTGCCTGGAAAGTCACTGGTCTGACACTCACCTGTCCATTCCCTCTGTCACGTAGGTAGGATGATGTATCCAAGTGTGATTCACGTAAAGCGGATTTGCGACCATCTTTCCAGTTTCGCTGACCATTTCGAACTGAATTGTTGAGAGCATCGCCCTTAGCGTAAATTTATTCGGATGTGTTGCTGAAAAAGGGGAACATATTAGGCTTTGCCTTCTGTCTCGCTTTTTGAAAAAAAAACCGCTGAAACGGCTTTTAATAGCCTAATTAGCTATATTCCTGAAGAAAGCGAAACATCGAAGACAATAAGGGGAAGATACTATGACGTTTTGGTTGTGAATCCCCACCACGACCGTGCGCTGTTTTGCTCATAACTCCTTTCAGAGAATAGTTTTACAGATTCGGAAGATAGGTTTGAGATCAGCGTTTGAAGTTACAATACATCTAGGTGTATCATCTCTTCATGAATGGCCATGCCCCCTCCCCCTTAGAAAGTGTTGCAGTGGAAATGTTGGTGAAATAAAGGGAAAGTGAGAGGATGTTTGCGGTTTCTCGTGGTAGGTATATACCCCCCCCCTCCCGCTCGACGGTAATTTTGGAGGAAAAAAGTGGGCGGAGTTTGGGCTGTGTCGACTGGTCTCAGAATCGAATACTATAGAATGAGCCCCATGATGGCGATGGCAGGCGAGGGTGGTGGTGGTGAAGGGTTGACCCTGAGGGGGGTCGTATCGAGGCCCTCTAGAAGGGGGAGGGGGTCGTAAAATTTTCGAAATCGGTCCAACGTGACGGTTGACCCTGACGGAGATTACAGAGCTTTGACTGTGTAGCTGAACTGTTCACCAGGCTCGAAATTCGTCAAAAAAGAGCCGGCATGAGAGGGGCCTTTAGTCAATTGAATCGGCTGAAAGTTCTTCGCTTATGTTGACATCTACCGATTAACAGTATCTGGCCAACGGAGTGAAGCTTGTAGATCTGCCGAGGAGTGAAGCTTGTTACGGCGAGTTGAACCGTATTGGATGAGGTGACGAAAATTTTTCTTACCGACGTCTAGTTTGGTGTTCTCCTTCACGTAATGGATGTAGGCGACATTTGGCATTGAGTGGAAAAGATGTGCAAACTCTTCGAGATAACTGTCTGCCAACCTTGGAATCAACACGTCGTCAAGATCCATGAAAGCGATGTATGAGGCGGATTCCTTAACTGATAATGTTAAACTGCAGGGTGAAAATGTAGTTCGGGGGCCACCCTATCTAATCGAGGTGGAGTTGCGGAAAGACAAAGTAGAGCTGCGGGAAGGCTCTCATATCTTATCATATCTTTCACTGAGACCGCGGCCTACGACTAGTAGGTTTACCCTTGTCATATTATTCTATGGCTAAAATGGCTGCTACCTTGCTGGCTCTTCACTTTCACCAAACCTTCCTGCGACTGCCATGTGAGCCCTCGAAGAAAGGACATTTCAGGTATCCGATTTTCTATGGAATCTTTGCTTGGTATCCCTATCTAATCATACATCAGAGACTGAGTCTGGATGTTGATTAGATATGACCGCCCTTCCGCAGCTCCACTTTGATTAGATATTGTCAGTTCGATTAGATATTATGAGTGGCCCCCTCGAACTACATTTTCACCAACTGCAGTCGTTTGCAGAAATTTTGCACACAAATAGTTGCGCAGAAGGAAATCGTAATGACAGATCACGTGAGCCCCAGTTAGTTAAACAGCTGTTGCTAAAATTAAGCAGAAAAAATTTACGCTCGACTTTTAAGCCGCGTGAGAAACATTCTTTGGGCCTTTCCCAGCAAGGATGGATCGTATTGATTTGATCTTGAAGGAGATCGGTGAATTGTGAAATGAAGCATTATGTGCTGAAAAAAACAAAATGGGAATGAATGTATAGCTTTGAAAGAAAAAGTTTTCTATGGAAATCACCCGCCGAGAAATTTCAAAAAATTGTAGGTTGCATGTTCAAGAGGTAGCGCGAAAGGATGCTCCCTCTTTACAAAGTGGGTCCCTCTGTGCAATTCCTCGATGTCTCTTCTAAAACTTATTGATACATTTCTAGGATACGCATTTCTTCCACATGGAACAGGAGTCAAAGCGAACGGCAGTCGTTGAACTCGTTCAGTGAGATGCCGTGCGCTTGACAACATGGAACGTGCCCCCTTCTTCTCACAAGCTCAACAAAATACCTTCGTCAACTATTCATGACACAAGCTTGATCCTAGGGGAATGGGTCGTAAGCGAGGGTCGGCAGTGTGAACGGGAGCAATGGCTATTACTTATCTATAATAATAAGAGTTGGGAGCCAGGATAGGGATTACTAGATGCATTGTCGTCCCTTCTTGGGAGCGTTGAAGGCGTGTTGAAGGACGGAGTGTTGAAGGATCTCGCGAACAAAAGTGACAGAACAGCTGAGATTCTGTATTGCAGTTTCGAAAACCTTCATAAGGCTCTTAACCCGGTCCACAATGTAATGGTGCTGTACTGAGCTGGTCTTCAAGCCCTGAAGCTACCGTGCTATATTGTTTTTCTGCCTTTTGGTCTATCGATAATGTGGCTGAACTCCTTTATCGTGATCATGTAGAATGATCAAAATCAATTGCAAAAGGAGAGTCTTGTTCAGGGCACTGATAGCGATGCTCTTTCGGATCCATTGGGGCTATTTGCTTACCCCTTCCTGCTGGGCCCTTTTCGGCTATATTTATCCATATACCCACTCCTATTTCAGCACGCAAACTTAGTTAATGCCTTCGTAAGCACCCCCGAGCCAGCGCCTGGGCGGAGCACCCCACGAACCAGCCTGGGCGCCTGGCGGAAACCCCAGCTGGGGTTCGTGTTTAGATCAAAGAGGAGGTGCCGCCTGCACCCGCCCCTGTTGCGCTGCGGCCTCGGCAGTAGGATTATCTTCAGGGCCTTTTAGCAACTTTGCGTGCACCCTCCCCTTTTTTCGGCTATCAGTCGGTAACGGTTCACTTGTATCGGGTCGGCATCTAGCCCTTTTTTCTCCTTACCACAAACACTAAATTGAATTTTGAGTCAATCAATCTTGTGCCATCCCGGGTCCAATTATTATTTTTGCTCACTGTTATGATTGACCTGTAAATAAATAAATACAATAGCACTTTCTTTCCAACCACAATTGACAGCAATTGTGATGGCTTTATGAGAGCGTCAATGGTACAGAATACGTAGTGAATAGGGAACCTGGACGAATCGACAAAAACCCGCAAATTGAGAACCGTCATTTTACTCGCTGTCTTCTGATGGATTACGGCTTATAGTTAGTTTGGGCTCGGTTTGGAAACACAATTATGCCCCTATAGAATAGCAGGACGACAAGGTGCAAGATGAGCAGTTCGATGCGAAATACGTTTTCAATTGAAAATTGCAAGGTAATGTGAAGAAATCACAAACCTCAATAACTATTTACACTTGGGGGCGGTGGCGGTTATTGGTTGGTAGCCTGTTGTTGCGAGTAGAGCAACTTTCGCCAACACCCTTCGTTTTCTTTGATGGATGGCTATCGCGTGCTATGCTGTACGTTTTTTCTAGTGCATACCCACTTTATCATACACACTGCCTTTAGGTAATTTTAATTATGCACGGATCGTGCATGCGATAGTGATCCCACACCTCACCCGCCGCTATCGCCCTACTTCTTATATCGAGAAGAAGAACTGCATCTTATTCTGCTAAAACAGACCTTATATTGGAGTAGGCAATCGGTCTGAGCTGCCGCTTGGTTCCGAAATTCGACATTGATGTTTGGGTTGAATTCCATTTCGTCAATTGTAAGCAGAGTGATTCGCAGCCATGGTTGAATAGTTAAGTAACCCTGGAATGAATGCATTTCTTCTTGCTTCAAATATTGTTCTAGCTCCTACAGTATGTAGTTCTGAACCATCACATGGAGCACCCAAGCAAACATCTACATATGTAGAACGGAAGTGGGACTTAAAGTCCGCGAATGAGCTTGCACTGCTCTTCCTTCACACTTCAACAGACCTCGTCAACGTAGATTTTCAGCAGTTCGTACACCGTAGAGACCATACTGCGAATGTATAAATGCATATGACTCCCATATCTGCAATGGTTTCACACAGCTTTTATCTAGCATGTTGGACAAAAGAAGCACCGGTACTTCAAAATTACGAAATGATTGATTTTATATGATTTTTTTATGAAATGATTGATTCCGGATGATTCGCCCATTCGATAACTTGACTTGCGCTTCACGAATGGTTCCGTTTACTGATGTCTAAGGGCATGTGCGGAAACGGAAACTAGACTACCTTGTTATCCAGACCCCTTATAAATTATACATTTACATTTACAAACTTAATGATTAAAATTATTAAGTAAAATAGCAAATCTTTTATAAAATCTATTTCTGTTCAGTTAATACTCGTATAACTTCGTATAATGTATGCTATACGAAGTTATGGGTAGCGACTTATACAAATGGGAGTGACCGATAAGGTTGCTTGAGATAGCCCTACAGAATGGGTTGTTGGTCGAAATGGGGAGCATCAAGGATAGAACTACAAGTCCCGTAGTTCGGGCTCACGGGCATTAGGTCGTGGAACCTCTTCTTAGCGACTTCGATCGTTTGTTTTCCTTGTGTGTAAAGTGTTTGTAGACATGTTTACGTGAGAAAAGCAAACGGGCAAACTCTAAGAAAACGACACCACGACTGTTCGGCAGAGATCATCCACCGCTTGCGCCTTTTCGACGTATCATAATTAAAGGAATCTTCCGCGGAAAAAGCTCCGCCTCCATTACCCTAGGAAACGATACCCCTTAGGCCCCTAGCCTCATGAGCATAGCAAAAAGAACGGAACATAAGCGTTAGTTTCGATAATACTAATCCTACACACAAGACAAAATGATCACTCTTTCCGTGGAAGATTCCTTTAAGGTATCGTTTTTCTGTGGTAATGAGGGCGGAGCTTTTTCCGTGGAAGATTCCTTTACCACAAGTCAGAGAATCGTTGACCATATTCAAAGCCAGTGTCTCAAGCGCGCTCAACAAATGCACACCTCATTTTCAAGTTTTCTAAATTTGCTAGCGGACTTTTTTTTGTAGTTAGTCAACACATCTGGCATCAAGAGCATCAAAAACCATATGCGATACAAAATGCCTAGCACTGAAAAACGCTTTTTGAATGCGCCACGCATTCCCCAAAGCTATAGCGGCACATTGAGTGCTACTGAGCCCACATGACGACTTAGGTCAGGTGATGTACGATTGATGCATTTATTAATGACTTTTATCATCCCCAACATTGCTGTTGCAAAACATAAAGGCAAAGTTCGGGCTCAGACCCACCTAAGAAGCCCTTACCATGGCTAGAAGTGCTGGGCACCCAAGTGCAAAGTTAGCGCCACCTTTCTACATCGAAACCCGTCACCAGGACCCTAGGCGCCATGAACTTCTAACAGACTCCACCAAACATAACATGGTCCGCCCACCGATCGATGTCTTGTCTGCGTCGCTGCGTTGATCTGCTATGCTCTCTCTTCTCGAAATTCTTACGTATATATATATATATATATATATATATATATATATATATATATATATATATATATATATATATATATATATATATATATATATATATATATATATATATATATATATATATATATATATATATATATATATATATATATATATATATATATATATATATTTTTATACTTTATATTGGCCGATGTCAGACTTTGCGAATCGCGCGATTCGCTAGCGTCTGCGGTCGCGTCGCGGCCAGTGAATCACTCAATTGGCTGGTACCGCAACGCGACCGCGGACGCTAGCGAATCGCGCGAATCGCTAGTAGCGAATCGCGCGATTCGCAAAGTCTGACATCGGCCTTAGCATTTTTTTAGAAGCCCACTTGAATTTATCTTGAAAACTCTGTGGTGTGGTGCTTGTAGGAAGGAAATACGAGAGAGCAGAAGAAGGGAAGTTACCAAAATTGCATTTTTTTCAAGGCTGTCGCTCACTTTTTATAGATGTGCGCTGCGAAGAGTGCCTGTTGCCATTGTTCTCGTTGCCGAAACAGCGGTGCAATACATGTCACCACATCGTACTTTTTCAGTACTGGCTCGCGAAATGGAATCTGAATGGAGATATTTTCGAGAACAGTGAAAAGGACAAAAGAAAAAAAGCAAAAAAAAGAAAGCTGTGGCTGCCATGAAGTTGGAATTCTACTTTATAGTTTGGTAGGAGTGATTCTTCTGACCTTTAGAGATTGAGCTTTTTGTTAAGCTTCTTCGCCTTCGTCACTCTCCATCGACTTTTAAAGCAAATTAAATCACACTCGACCCCAAGTTGTGTATTGTGCATGAAAACGGAAGCACACTGGCTACTAGGTCAGTCAGAGACGAAGAGACTAGAGGCAAGCCTCTTCTCTTGAGGCGAGTATCTTCGTCACTGATTGACCAGGTGCGTGAGCAGCGGCTGGATAAATCCTCCATAGTAATCTTTTGTGAGTAGAAAGAGCTGTTCGTGAGGAACGGGGCAAAAGCGCTAGGGCAAAACCACTGCTTCTAACTACCGACCATAACCAGTAGTTGTTTGGAGGCGGTCGCAATGGCCACTTCTCTGTGCTCCCTGGTACGGCGTGCTTTCTCTCATCTTCTACCTTCTCAGCTCGCTCTGAATCTCTGTCGTAGGAAAATCGACCCTACAGAATGTTTAGGTCCTTTTGAGGTTTTGATGGTTCCATTTCCTTTCGCCTTCACTTTCAGCCCACTCCGCATCGCTACCTTCACTTGAATTTAGCGCTCTCACACACCATCTTCATCCCGATCCTTGTCAAACGAAAAGTCTAATGGCCCTTAACACATTCACGACGACGCCCCTTTTCCACTTTTCGGTCGCGTGGGACGGACGCGATTTTGTGGGCGCCGCCGCCTCACCACATAACCGCAGATTTTGTTTTGTAAATGAACAAAAACATGAATGTCACAAAATAATTTCTGCAATGTCCAATGCGTAAAGATTATCTAAACATATAACAGTAGGATTTCGATCAGAACGACAAATAGTGGTTACGAAAAGAGAGCATTTATTCACTTTCCCCGTGAAGGAATTTAAAAGCATTTTACACTCGATTACGAGGTTTGCCCACCTATCTGTCCATTCCTAGCGCCTGGCAAGCGATTATCAGTTGGCAGCCCATATGGGCTGCCATCGTCCCAGGAGCGCATGTTGTTGGCAGCCCATATGGGCGGCCATCGGCGTGAATGTGTTAAACACCATGAAACCCATAAAGTGAAGACAT